ATGGCTGGCCGCCGGGGGGAGGGGGGGGAGCGGCAGCAGCGACAGGAGCAGGAGCGGTAGCTCGAGCAGAGCCTCTGTCCGGCTCGTTGCGGAGGACGCTGCGTAGCCCTTCCATACTGGCTACTGAAGCCCTGGAGCCTCTTCCTCCGGCTCCTCCAAACATGCTGGATGCTGTGTTTGAAGGCATGGTTGTAGGTTGATGGGTTGAGACAGAATTGACAGAGTTCACGCACGGATCTGTAGAGCGAAGGAATGAACCTGGACGATGGGGCGCACCTAGGTATGTTTTTATACCTGTATTTACCCACGGACCATCCTACGTGGATGTAATTGGCTCACGATGCTCAGCTCATCTTTGGATAAATTAGCCCGAGTTGAAATTCAAGTATTTCACGTCCAGTATTTGTGTAAACGTCGTACAGTGATTGGACGAACGCAGACGGAGGTAACGGGGTGGCGCCCCTTAAAAACCAGGCAGCGTCCCAGTGAGAAGAGGTGACACTCGAGTAAGGTTTGTGTCTTCATCATGTCTCAGCCACGGAGCTTCAGCAGCCAGTCCTACTCTCCACAGAGCACATCCACCGCCAAGAGCCAGAATCCGAATGAAAACAAGATAAACTCTACGGAAAAGTCCAAGGAGAAGGACCACATGGTGGGACTTAACGACAAGTTCGTTGAGTTGATCGATAAAGTAAGTAACTCACTTTATTTAGTTGAGTGGTTGATTTTTGTTTTAACTACACAGCCATGACAATACTCTAAATGTTGTCATGACATTGACAACAATAGTTTACGTTATTGTATAGGTTACAGTTATATTTAACATATAATTTAAGTGACAAATTGTAGCTGCTTTCTTAAATCGTGTCAGGGTCTATTTTTCATTTTCACATAAATTTGACATTTTATCAACATCATTCATCGACATCGGTTAGTTCCTCATCACTACTGGCTGTCAAAAAAGACAGTTATCAAATTACAAGGAGTAAAGTGTATTTAAATGATACGTTTTAAAGAATAAAATAAAAATGTGTTATTTTTTCATATTGAAATGGCAACTAGGATATATCCTATATCTTTACTTTTATCCTTACTTTTAAGTATCAATAACTAGTGTAAAGAAAAAACCATGAAGTTCAAGATCAACAATATCCACAACATAGAAAATACTTCAGAATTTAACAATAAAAAAGTGTTTTAAGTTTGTCAGCAAACAGAGGCACAATAACTGTTTTAATGTTTGTGATATGTGTAATAATTAAGACTTTGATAATGGGGTGGGTATGCGCGTAACAACGTTGGCTGTGACCTGCTATTAAACCATGAATTACTTGATTTGGATGTGTACATCGGTCCCACACAATAACAACGTGAATGACTGACAAGATTTCCTTGTTTTTCTCAATGAATTATGACTTGTTTTTTAAGCTAAGGCAGCACCAATTATTGAGTAATATCATGGCATTTAATCATGTTAATTAACCTTAATTACCCTCCAACCACACCACCACCCGCGATAGTCATGCAGAGGCAAATTCCACTCACAACAGTAGCGGGCCCGCTCATTGTCGACAGTAAATTAGCACGAGCATGTGGTAGCTAACGCCCTTATCGTGTACTGCAAATACACACACACACATAGCTAGATGAAGTCACGGACAGTTGTAATTGTTGTATTTTAAAACAGACCTAAAGTTAGACTCTTGGCTAACTTACTCGAACAGTAAGACTTACCTTTCAGAGATAGCGTCGGCGCCTTGATGCCTTCTCACAATGTTCGCGGTCTTTATTTAGATTTTTTTTTTTTTACCGGCCGGCGCACTAGCGCTACCTTTTGTTCCGGAGGGTTTAACGACATTGAACTTGAGTTCAACTTGAGTTTTTTTATTTATTAATTTATTTCAATTTCAATTAATATTCTCAATAAATAAGTTGGGGCCGCTTTTATAAACCATGTTAACAAGCGAAGTATAAATTAATTGCGTTGTTTTTACTAACTTTCCTTTTTATAAGTTCAAAGACCAAGTATTTCCCCTTTTTCCACTGACATTCAAACAGAACATAGGAAGAACTTCTTCCAAAGACACAGCGTTTTATAGTGTGTCTGTAAAGAAGGGACTCTTTCCAATTACCTTTTTTATATATATATTCTTTTGTTGTTTGTTGTAATAAGAGGAGATACATGGGGATGTGCAGTGTTTCTGTAAAGAAAAAAATATTTTTATTGAAAATTTATAAGTTTCAATTTATAAGTTACACAAGACCACTTCATTTGGTTGTGGTATTTTTCTTAGTTCTTACAAAATAGGATCATTGTATTTGGTCATAATTCATCTGGAGCTCATTTCCTTTCAGAAATCATGATAAAATCATTTTTTTGAGTGTACCGTTACATCCCTAATCAGGTTGTAAACTCATTTCATGTAATGCATCCATGCAAGGCAGAGCTCAGAGGTTGTTACTCTGTCATTTTGGTTCCATTTTTGAAATCCTACCTTTTTTTCTTATTTAGTTAAACACAATAAGATCTATCTCTGTCTCAGGTGAAACATCTCGAGGATGAAAACAAAAAGCTTGACACCAAGCTGAAAATCCTGAAGGAGCAGGATGTATACGAGGGCAAAGTGGACGACATTGTGAAGCAGATCGAGAACGAACTGCAGGAACAAGTGGAGATTCTGCTCAATGACCAAGAGAAGCTACAGACAGAGCTCCGTAAGAACCAGGAGGCAGTGGAGGACATCAAGCAGAGGTCAGCACATCACAACGTACCTATTTATTAATATTATTATTATTATTATTACAAATGTTATGTCACATTAACTGGTTCCTTGAGAGACATAACATTTACCAAGTAATTGTAAAAGACTTCTATGGTGTAACAGTACGTAACTACCTGAGTTTTAACAATCAATGTCTAAAATTCATAGTTGCCTACAAAAAATCTTTTTTTATATAATACATTCAATCTTTTATCCCTAATGTTGTCAGGTACAAGGATGAGATGCAAAGGAAAGCTGACGTGGAGAGTGATTTCATTGTTACCAAGAAGGTAATGCATGGCATAGTTTCATCAGCTGTTCCTTTAAAATAATTAGTGATTTGACAAATTCATAATTTATTTAAAGAGTTTCATGCTTTATTTGTGCAGGAGGTAGACGACAGTCACTTAGAGGAAGTAGATGCGGCTCTAGAGCTGGAGGACCTGATGGGAGAACTGGACTTCCTTAGGGTTGGTTTCGATGAGGTAACGCAAGAAGTTTTATTTGTTTTTCTGTGAAATTCTTTTGTCTTTTTTTCTGGTTTTCCAAGTATCATTGAAAAACTCCTCTAATTGTTGGCTTATTAGTTGCATATATTATTTACATGTGTTAACAGTCCTAATTAAAGCCTTTAATTTTGGTGACAATTATGTGTTTGTTCGTCCTTACTGTACACGTGGCCCTGCAACAAGCGGTGAAGTGGTCAGCCAAAACCTTCGCTTTTTTGTGTCCCTCAAAAGGATCAAACTGTAGGAAATGAATGAATACAAAATACTGAACATTTTTATGTGTTTTTATTATAGGAGACCAAAGAATTGGAGTCTTTAGTCCAGAACAAGACTGTGATCCTGTCAGACAACAGCAAACGGAGCCTGGACATGGATGAGATTGTGGACGGCGTAAGAAATCTGTATGCTGGACTGGCCACTCGCAGCAGAGATGAGGCTGAACATTGGCACCAGAAGAAGGTGAAGCTGTGTTTTTACATCACTGTGTCAACATATTAATGCAGCTCTGTACTTTATTTTGAAATACCACTGATTATTTGATTTGCCCAGTTTTAGGTCATAAAAACAAACCATTAATTAATCCAGTAGGGTATGACTTACTGTATGACTGTGAGGAACTGGATATTCAACTTTTTTTTTCAAATTTGGGTTTTTCATTTCACTTGGAAATGCCACAGAAAGGTAACTAAAACTTCATAAAAAATAACAGTTGTGTTAAGGTTACTGTTTGTGACCGTCATTGTTAAAATGGTTTTATATTTTCTACCATAATCCAAAAGCTAAATTTGAATATAAAGTGATCTTACAGTGAGTTATTTGGCAGAAAAAACAGAATTAACTGAATGTGACATGAGCAGATGAAACAAGCAATGAAAAATAAGCAAATAATTTCTTAAATAATTTATCCAAACGTATTAAGATAAATATTTTACTTTTTAAACTAATTATTAAAACATTTATAACTATTTCTATGACAGTGATTTACTGAATTCCTTTAAATTGTGTTTAAATTGAACTGTATTAAATAATAATATTTTTTAAATATTGTCTTCTAGATGGATGCTATGGTGTTGTGTGCAGGACAGTCTGAACAGGATGTACGTGACTTGAAGCGGGACATCTCTGACATACAGCGTCTCATCCAGAGACTCAATGGAGAAGTGGAGGTTCTTCTAAGGAAGGTACAGATCTGACAGAATCGTTGATACAACATTTAATGTGGACTTAATCCGACGATCCTTCAGGTCTTTCTCTTCTCTCTGTATGGTTTACTGTAGGAAGAGTCTCTGAAAAGGGACATTGACAGACTTAGGAGAGAGGGAAACAACAACCTGGAGAAGGCACGGGAGGACATTGATAACCTGGAGAAGGCCTTGAAGAGGGCCAAGCAGGACTTGGTTGAAAAGATCTGTGAATATCATGAACTCATAAACCTGAAGATCGCCTACGACATTGAGATTTCTACTTACCGTAAGCTGCTGGAGGGCGAGGAGGAGAGGTATGATGTGGTCATCTTACCTACATAAGTATGTTTCACATCAGTCCAGATTAAATTATTCTCTCACTGACATCTGTCTCTGATCCATCTCCACATAGAATGAATGAACTGCAGCTCCACACAGGTGAGGACTTTAAGAGAAAACCACTTTGTCATGTAATGAGTTTGCAATTGGGTGTTAGGAGAATACCTCGCAAAAGTTCACTCTAAACTCAATCCTCTCTTTTGCTCAGATTTCTGAAACAAACCAATCCAGGAGGCAGACATTCATCTGTCAGAGAACCTGAAGTCCCTAAACCTGAACCCAAACACCCAGCCCCCAGGATACGGCTCTTGGTCCGTGTAGAGGTTGATTCAGACCGAGTGGTGTCCCGGAGTTTATATTATATCCAGGATTGAAAGGGAACTGTTCATCACTGCTTCATTGTTACAACAACTATTGGTGTGCCATTAAAATAATGATCCAACATTCTCATTTCTAACTATCGTTTGTTGTCCAAACTTGCTCAAAGGTAGTTTTTTGTGATTTAGCCCAGTTCATTAAGGTGCAGTGATCTTTTTTCATTCTATAATGTTGTGTTTCAGAGTTACCATGGCAGACCCCCAAGCTCTCTTGCTCCTGGTACAACTGTAGCCCTAGTGTAACAAAGATTCCTTATCATATCTCAACATGTGGGTAGTTCAAACCTTTTTTTGTTCTGCTGCTGCTGCACAATGTGAAGAATTCAAGTTGCAGTGAGTCCTCATATAAAGTGGTCCAGTAGTCAGAGGATCACACTTGTAATTGTGGGATTGCCACCTTAAGTTCACAAAAAAAAAAAAGTTAACTTATCAACTACAGTATATTTGTAAAATACAGCTAGGTGATGAGCACAGTGATATTACTATTACTTCAACTATACATGTGTGCATATAAATACTGTACATTTTATTGTCTTACCTACACTATATACATTAGTGCTGCATGCTGTGATAAAATGGTTGAGATTGGTTAATTCAACTACTACAATATTAGAAATTGCAAACATTGATTCTACTTGATTAATTGTTAACGACTACAGGAGGACAATTGATCATTTTAAACTGTGTGTTTTTTTTTAACTTAAAATATTCAACCTGGAACTTGTAATAGTAACAATACTATTTTTCAAATGAACTAGGACTTAAAAAGTAAAAGCTTGCAAAAAAAGGGCATTTCTACAAAGTTCAAACCCAAAATGCCCTGCACTACTGTTACAGTCACACAGAAAACTGTACTGGTGCTCGATGCTGCGTCCCAGGGGTCCGTTTCTTGAAGCGGACTTAGAGTTAGTTAACTCCGTATTAGAGGGAACTCAGACCTTCCGGTTTCCTTTTCCGTTTTTCTTCGCAATCTATTATAAAACGGAAACTGATTCGAATATCAGCCCACATCTCTAAACTTATCGTAGTCGTGCTCTTAGCTCGGAGCAACTACATCATACTTCGGTAATTTCCTTTATTACGTCGGTGATGCTGAAAACGTATTTTTGCAGCGTTGGTGTTGCGCTGAAACGAACACTTTCAGCAGAGCTCTGTGAAGAAGAGTGCAAGTTTGACATTGGTCCATCACTACTGCAACACGTCAGCAAAGAGATAAATTAAAACAGTATTAAAATCAGTAGTTAAATTATAATTTCATACATAAAACTGCCGTTTGTCATTTGAATGTCATTTTCCTAATAGTCCACAGCAGTGGGGGCAGAATTTATTCTTCTCTGTTTGTACTATATTTTTGTATTTGGTCTTAATTTGCTGCCACGTCCTTTTTATCCCTGTTGGGTTAAACCTGAATTAAAATTTAAAACGGCCAGGTGTGTTCACGGCGAGAGATGTGTATTGATAATTTTACAATAAATATCTCTGAACAGTTCTGTAATTAACGAGCATGAATAAGTTTCTCATCAATACTCACGCGTTCACTCTGTTACCAAGTGTTTTCACTGTCGTCTGCGGCTGTGACACTATTGCCCTTTTTATTTTACAGCGTGTCGTAATCATTATAGACATGCAATAGTAGTTCTTGCTCCAATGGAGTGAAGCAAAAGGTGCGGACATGACATGGTTTGTTACCTGTGCTCAACTGAGGCAGCCTTCATACGTAGTCTTATGAAGGCGACTACGTATGAAGGCATAGTCGCCTTAGTGGGGCTAGTCGAGCGCCACTCAGTCGCCTGAGTGGCCACTCAGACTGAACTCAACTCAGATTGTAATCAGCCGTGGTGAAACCGAAAAGTCAGAGTTGGACTCACCGGCTTCCGGAAGCCAGAGCTGTAATAAAGCATACTGTTAAAGCACTTTGAGCTACATGACTGTACAAAATGTGCTATATAAATAAAGTTATCATTAAATATTAAAGGAGAAACAGACCGAGGGTTCTAACATTTCATAACAAATCAGAGGAGGGTTTGAACCTGCAACTGTTTTGAGGCAGGCATAAATCTCATATCACATCAGCCAGACCAGCACCTTGACCACAGGGATGACCAACCTGTAAATAAACAAATCCACAGTATCGTTTAAAGGCAAATAGGGTATTCGTGTAAAGAACAAATGCATTAAAAAATATGTGTATATATAGTCTTTATTGTCATTGCAACACAGGGATAAAACACAATTGAGCCTCTGCTTTTAACCCACCACCCAGGTGAGCAGTGGGCAGATGTTTTTTTGTAAGCCCCCAGGGAGCAGTGTGTGTGGGGACAGTGCCATGCTCAGGGCACCTCAGTGGTAACTTGGCAGCTGGTGGATTCGAACCTTAAGCATTCCAGACCCAAGTGTGCTTCCTTAACCACTAAGCCACCACTGCCCTTTACAGTTGTTTACTTAAAGAACTTTCTGTAGACGTTTTGAGGAACCGTTAAAGCATGATTTAAATAAATGAAATAAATAAATACAGATATTTATGCAAAGTGTAAACAGAGATAAGTGCCTACACATATTTCTTAAAATAACAAAGGCATTTCCTCAAAGGCTGCAGCTGTGTTTATGTGAAAGAGATCTCTGTGGA